GCTAAGCTACCTACACCTATTCAACGAAAAACGCCCAAAATGCAGATTAAAGCACTCCTCATTACCCTTTTCTCGAGTCTTACTCTTGCAAACCCGCTTGGAACTAGTCAAAAACTTAAGATTTAGGAACATAAGAATCAGCTCATTTACTAATAACATTGAGCTATACAGGCGCCTGCGGCATATATCCTTAGAGCTGGAGATATATTATCTAGTATCGAAAATCATTTCGCCACCGGCATTTGCGACATAGCTAAGGCGAGCAATATATCCAATATCAACTCGCTTATGGTTGGCCAAACGCTAAACATTCTCACTCAATGCAACCCTAAAGACGACACCTCTTGCGTGACATAAACATCGCTTCTGCAGTAATTACATCATTCGCTTCTTATCAAACACAATATATCTATTGTCGTTTGCTTTGAAGCAAGTGTAAACCGCGTCATGGCACTGACTCGTAGCCTCCTGACAAGGCATGGTACCTTGACAGATATCCTTTACTGTACCAGATCATCATTGCCGCCCTACTGTTCTGACTATCTATCCTTTCTGCTATCTTAGCTTTAGCGCTGAAATGCAGCATACTGCAAGGATCTTTTTGGGCTAATACCGATCTAGAAGATATTAGTGTGGTACTATTCACGGGACCTTGGAGGACATTGTGCGACATTTCGAATACCATAGTATTAGACGGTCACTTCAAGACGACTCCCATGAACAAGGAGTTACTCTAAAATTCAAGACCGAGAATAGAGAGGAAAATACCGCTCCCTATCCAAGTTTCGATGTAAAAACTCTTGAGAAAACTCACCCTCTCCAAAGCAAACTATTACTACTTTGGAGACGCATATAAAGGGCCACTCATGTACATACTTTAGTAACACTTTGTGCACTAATGCGATGAGCGTAAACTATACTGAAACTATTCTTATGCTGAACTAGCTTCGACAAAAACTACTAGTCTGATGAAAATCTTACCTCACAATTAAGTACAACAGTTTGGGGCTGGGAGATGGTCTGGTGGGAATGCAGTTTCCTTGGCCGAACGAACAAGGGCAATGGTCACTACAGTATGATTGAAAACAAGCGTCGGAGTCACAACCTTGAGCAGCAGAGCCATTGAACCGGTTATCGCTTCAACAGATTATGTAGACTTGGTGTTGTTATTCGCCTCGGCGTATCAGCCTGTAAGCCGACAAGCTAAACCAGCAGTTATTTATACGGGCTGTCAACGAAAGTCTTGCTGATTAAGGCTAGCTATTACAAAGTTGTTTTCGCATACTGATACGTCTTGCAATTTTTCTTGTTCCATAAGTATGTGAATGGCAGATAAGGTGATGGCTATGTTAATGTTGCATCGATACCGAAGTATTCTTGTCGTTAATCTTTTGTACGGATCGCAATCAGAACTGGAGCATACAGATAGCACTTTTGCCCAACGAGTAAGGGAGCTACATGAGCATATCTAGTTGTGAACTGCTTGCAGCTGTACTGTGACTTTAGTATTGCGAAATTGCAGCAGCTTCTTGATCATTGTTTTGATCATTGTTTTGGCGGCAATGTATTAGCAGTTGGGAGAAGGCAAATCATTGCCTAGAACAGCCTGCTTTATCTATAATAGGCGTGGGTAATTACATCTAGGATATTATTTAGCGCATAAAAACGCGATTGAGATGGAGAGTGGTCGAATGAACTCTGGTTCACTTGGGGTCTCTGTCAAAGCTTGGAGGCACGCCTGATGAGAGTTGTGCGACAATTGTTCTTTCTATGATTGTACTAATTGCTTCACTGACTTACATCCTTGCCCCGTTATATATACGCTCAATCGACACGATTACCGAGATTGTGACAAGACATATAGTGTCTCTAGCTTAAGGACATGCTGCAGGGTTTAACAAATGATAAGGGTTAATAGTGGGTACTAGTATCGCACATATGATCGAATTCGAAATGGAATACCCTGAGTTATTTTGCGATGTGACTAATTTGGGGTAGGAGAACTTTCGCACGGTCCATAGAGCTGAACGGAAGGTGAGGGTTTCCTCCTGTAAGTATGGGTATATAAGTATGTTGGGCAGGTACTAGCAAGGCGAAGCGATTACGAAGAGGAAGCGAACGCGACTGTGATGGCGCGGAAAGATGGGGACCGGGGATGGCGATCCTGGCAGCCGGGGGGCGGGGGGGGCGGACCACGAGGGCGGACCACGAAGGCGGACCAGACAGGCGATGGATTGCGCTATCTCTACCATTGACTCGGAACGCCACACTTTGTAAGGCAACCAGGCCCTTCCATGCGTTCTACGGTGTTATGACCCCGTTCGGGACGCAATTCCGAGCCACACCCAGTGCTCGCGCTCCAATTGAGTGAGGAGGGTGTGGCTCGTGCTTATGCTGAGTAGTGACACCACAACAAATAGCGTAACACGTGGCTGTGATATCGCCGTGTACGACAAAGAAAGATGGAAAGAAAAGTGAAAACATGCCTCTCTGCCTCAATAAGTACAAAACGTAGACTACGATAACGCTATTATACCCTACTTTGCGGCGAGTTTTGTGTAGGTGCACAGATCGTAATACCCCGTATTACTAGATACCCCGTATTCCCGGTAGTCTAGATCTAGTGACGCTCCTGGTGTTGCGATAGTTCCGTTGACGTACCACTAAAATCATGCTTGGATGACGGCTAGTCAGCCGCAGTCCTCTAATTGGACCACCACTAGCCTGGTTGCAGAACGGCGTAGATTAGACCGAACCATGTTACGCGCGGTTCTCCTTTACGAGGATACTACCTGGTCCTAAATAGTCCTACATTTGCCCATTACTTTGCCGTCTATCCTCCTCAAGATTGCACTTCAAGACCGGGGTTATATCATCTTCAAAAGAAGATTGGTCACGGTACATGCAAATTCAGCTTCGAGTTAAGTATCATGGCTAGTGACCAAGGCGGGACCGATGAAACCCGAGTACGCAAAACCTACCAACAATACAATGACATAACTCACTAATGCTATCTAGGTTCCCACCGCCTTGGCCATCGTTACGATTTTTACGGTACTTTCATGCGCCTGCGTAGCCCTCCGGCTTTACACTAGGTACCTATAACCTTAAAGGAAAACCAGCGATTGCGGGGCTGATCAGAGTTGCATTCGCATAGGAAAATAATATTGCGAAATATTGGGGCGGACGACTATGTCATCGTTGTGGCTCAAGTGCTCAACTTCGGAGTGTCAGCTGGAAATTACGCAATCCTTACCGCTGGGGGCGCAGGCCGACACATCGAGTTTGTTAAGGACAAACTGACAGTCTTTTCCAAGGTAAATAGCCTACTGAGAAAAATGTAAGGTGCATGGAAGCTCACTTTATAAAGATACTTCTAGCCGCTATAGCACTCTACAACGCGACACAAATTGCAATTAAGATATCGCTCCTTCTCCAATATGGAAAGATTTTTCCAGGTCGAAATATGCGACTTATTTGCAACTGGGGCACTGTGTTTCTTCTAATATGGGGAGGTGCACAACAGTAAGTTCTCCTGTATCTTATCAATGGTCATTTCTAACAGATATATTCTTCAAAGGGTCTTCACTCCATTCATCTGCACATTCACCGGTATCACACATATCCCGGAAGGAGTTTGCGTCGGCAATAACACGTGAGTATACAGGACACGTGAATGAGTGCTTTGGCTTTTACTAACAGCAGCTAGACTAGCTGCACTCAATGCTGTCATGAATGTAGTTACCGATTTCCTAATTCTTATCATCCCTTTCAAGCCTGTACTTCAACTGCAAATCAACTTGTTGCGTAAGGTATACTTGTTGGCTATCTTGTGCATGGGCTTAGCGTAAGTAGCACCTACTCTTTTTACGGACGACTGTACTGACATGTAGTAGTGTATGCATCATCTCCGCTATCCGGCTTAATATGCTTATCGGACCCAAGTATGACTGGGACGATATCACATGGCAAATCGGGACTGTTGCTTCTCTTTCTACCCTTGAAACTAGCCTGGGTATCATGTGTGCCTGCATCCCCACACTTCGACCACTATTAAAGAGATTTTCACCGAAGATGGCGGGATCAAGTGGTAAGGATCAATCGACTACTGGCAACCAATTTGGCACCAAGAGAGAGACGAGATATACGAGTAATGGTCCTCTCAAGTCAAAGATTACCCACGACAATGCTATATACATCCAAAAAGATGTCCATTTTCAAAGCACGACAGAACTTAGGGATGTTTCGCACAAAGAACCATACCAAGTTTCTCAACGATCTTCCGACGATATAAGCCTGTGACCAGAATAACTGGCAACGAATAGATAGAATCCAATTTCCCACTACTTAGAAGAGGGCTTCTTGATTTGGAAAACTAATGCTGCACTTATCGATGAGTTCTCAATGACTTCTACTACCAACACAAATTGTCGTTGCTCCGAGGAATCTAACTAAGAATGCGGAGGAGCCTCGTGGCTCGCCAGGGATCAGGCTAGTGGATCCCTGCAGCCATAACGTATCCATGCACGATGCTCACAGATTGACGGTCATCCTATAAATAGTTATGTGCTTTCTACCCACTCGTACGTGGCCATGTGGAAAAATGACGGTTATATGATTCATACTAAAAACCTATCATACTACTTTAATACTGTTACCTAGCTGCTTAATGCTGCTGATTGCGCATAGACAACCTTTGGCGGATGGCATCTTTATGATTCGTCAAGTATATGCAGAAGGTGTTCTAGCTATTGCATAGATTTAGTAATAGTTTTGGTTAATCCAATGGGCACTAGTGGCTGGTTCGGCTTGTAAAATTATGAGTCCAATCGGTGTCAGAATCAGGGAAAGTAAACAGACTTTTGATAGGGAATGGTATTCCTCATACATTATACAACAACCTGCTCATGATCGGCCAGCCGTACATCTAACGGTTATTCGTTTCGCACATCAACACACCAATCAACTGCGATGAGCCGGCTCTGTCATTTTCTCGTACAATGTCTCCACCCTATGTAACAGTCGTAACAGCGAAGTGAACAGTCCGAGCAAAGTACTGTCTTGCCGCAGATGGAGCACGCAGATTCATGGGGAACGCCCTCGACATTGGCTGGGAAGGCATAAAACCGAATACGACATGGGCAGTGCTAGACTGCTGGATCGACAGCACATTTCCAGTGACTAGGAAGATCGTAACACTGCAAGTAGACAGCGAGTCAAGGATGACATGGATCCCGCGGTGAGTATAGACAATTCCACAGCTCGACTGCTGGCTAACAGATTTGATACAGTGAGCGGGGCATGCAGCGATTCTACGTCTTGCTCGAGGGTGAGATCACACACGAGAAGACTGAAGTCTCGATAAGGTGGCATATGGCACCCCAACTTGTTGAGTTCACACACATCGAGTGGTTTAGCAAGTTCGAGGGTCAGTAGCACTTCCTCATTTTCATGTATACATATCTAATCTCGTCTCCAGTTAAAGAACGCGTCGCATCCACCTTCTTGCATCCCACAGCCAGCGGCCCCTTCATCCTCGCTGGCGACGCCGCACACGTGCACTCCGTGAACGGCGGGCAGGGCATGAACACAGGGCTCTCCGATGTCTTCAACTTAATCTGGCGCCTGCATTTCCTTCTCCAATATCCATCTCTCCCGTCATCTACAACACACGCAATTTTATCGAGCTACAATATCGAGCGCCGCAAGATAGCAGAAGGCGTCATCGACGTCGCAGCTAAACTTGTCTGTAGCACCCTCGCTGACGCGAAAGGCTAGGTCGACTTGATTGAGAAGAACGGGGTTTCATTAAAGGGATGGGAGTGCATTACTCCGGCCTGGAATCGCCGCTTGTCCACCAATCAGAGCACGGGGTGTGGAAGGCAGGACGCCAGGCACCGGACCTGTGGCTCGCTCATCCCGCTACGGGTAATACAGTGCGCTTACACCAGAAACTCACATACGGGCGCTACCTTCTCGTGATTGTAGGTGCACCAAGGAACAAGGTCCAGTTCTTGGAAGAGCAGTTTGCGACTTCGGTCAGATTGACAGGGTTGAAAGCACTAGGCATGGGCGCACGAAGGCGTTATGAGGATGCTGTGGAAGAAGAGGTCCATGCCGATGCGTATGGCTGCTCGTGGGTCAAAAGAGGGGATGAGTATGGTGTACTTGTACGGCCAGATTGCTATGTTGAGTTTGTAGGAGGCATAGAGAAGGTAGTTCCATATGTACAGGAACAATTACCAGGGCCGTTTGATAGTAACAAGTAGGTGTTAAAAGTAACAATAGAAAGGATTCCTCCTCTAACGAGGAAGACAATTAATTGCGGGACTTGCTTGGGCTTACGCTACTGTGTAGTCATAGTATACAAGGCTACTTTATTACTATGAAATTGGCATCATTGGCAAGTTCGAAAGTGGCGAATCGTAACTAGTTGGCACGTTTACTGTAGTGACACACTCTTTTTGAGCGTCTCTGCTTGTCGCTGTCATTTGATTGGATAGTCTGAAGTTGCTTCGAAAAAAACGGAGGAAAGAAGAATGTCAGCAGGCAAAGGTTACTTTAGGGATGGCTTTATTCCGGATCAATGTGAACATGTACTTTCCACTAGAGCTAATCAGCGTGAATATCTTAGCAAGCGCGTCGCGGTGCCAGGTGAAGTACGAGGGAGCAGAGGAGATAAACGAATGCGCGCTGGAAGGAGAGAGAAGAGCAGACTTCATTCAAGTAGGGGTAACAATAGAAATGATAGCATTTAAGGGAATCAAAGATTCATTGGAATTAGACTCCCTAGCAAAGGAAACTACAAAACAAACACCAAAAAAATCACAAACGAGTCTAGCCTACCTAGGCACCATGATCAAACTCCTCCAACAAGCTAGCCAAGCAGAAGAGTGGAGAAAGTATAGGAAAACAGCAAGAGAGAAGAAGACTAGCTATAGAGCTATCTCTAATCTTAAGCTAAAAAACTAACTAGCAATCCCAAAAGGCACGAGAAGAGATATTTCAAGCTCTTTTTACTCTCTTAAGATAGAATATAGATACTTTAACTCCTACGTAAAGAGAGTAAATAAGAGAGAAACAGATCTCTGTAAGTGTAGGAGACTATAAACAATAGAGCATCTACTTCTATACTGCGGATAATACAACATAGAAAGAAATAAGCTTAAACACACTCTGGGCTAAAAAATACTTTAACTCCTACTACTACTACTACTCTATACTATGAGCGGCATAGAAGCTACTTTGGCATTTGTTACTAGAACAAAGATAGGAATAAGAAAGTAACACCCAGGCTAAACAGATTTGTTAATCTCGCTGTAATAATCACTCCTAGCAATGTAGTATATGTTTTGGCTTGTTTTCTTTACATAGGGTTTTATGCTAGAGTGACACTTTTAGACTAGTGTAAAGTCTTGTAAGTCTACACCAGTAGCGCGAAATGTTTCTTCTAGTACGACAAGGCGATGGGGGCGTCTTTGATATAATTCGACTTTGATCCCCATCTTAGCCAGAAACTTGGCGGGATCTGTTATGAGTTGTTTTGCCTGGTAATCTTTGATGGCGACTGCATACCCATTTATTGACTGAGAGGCACCATTAGGACCATAAGTACGGTGAACCCCTTGTAGCCTCGAGAGATCTGCACAGCCATAAAAAATCTCACCCATCATCAACGTGCCAACTATAGCCACCCCAACAACTTGCCAGGACTTGGGCTCGTGTGGAATAGTATGGACCTGAGGGCGTAGCACCACAGGAAACCTATTGCCCAAGAGGATATTGATCTGATCTCCTTCTTTTATGCCCGGGTTTGCGAGTCCAATCAAAGCATCGGTAGTAAGGAAGAAGTCCAAGTTATGCCAGGCTACCGCGAGCTCCACTAGGACCTCTTTGAAACGAATTTTAGAGTCCTTCAGCCGCTCTGGAAAGAAGCAAATGGCTTCTATGACGTCAATGTATTGCTGGAAGGTTGGGAACGTCGTTTTTTGTGGATCGTAAGCCTCTGCATGGCGTCGATTCGTAGCTGTCAAACAGAATACATCGACCCAAATGCGCTCGGGTAATGGATTTGTCTCTAGTTTTCTCGAGCAAGATTCTACCTCGCGTATTACATCTACAATAGCATCGCACCGTTCTGCTTCGTCTTTGATCTCGCCAACATCAGCGCGAACAATTGCTGCAATACGGGATACCGATACTCCCGCGACACGGATTCGCTTTGCATCTAGAACCGAAATGCTGGGACTGATCCATGCACAAGCGCTCCAGGCTGTGATCATATTTGGATCCTGCCATGACACTGACCAATCCGGCACCCAGCTAGGTATGTCTAGAGTTCTGGTAGCGATACGACAATTCTCCAGCAATGTCAGATCCTGATGCATTTCAATTGCCCCCACAGCTGCTCTTGAATACAGCTCTTGCGTTGTTAGTGAGTAATCAGGCTTAATTCCAATTGATGCATCTGATTCTCGCATCAAGGATAACATTGCGTATATCCTGTCTCGGTGATCTCGACATTCTGCGTTGCCTAGATATCGATCTAGTACAGTATATGAGCACGTAGCTGGTCTTAGTGTAAAGATAAAATATACTAATGTCCGTAAGTAGTCCCATTCTGGGAATTGCCGATCAAGGAGGGCGCTGTAGTAAACGCCTTTATAGACCAAGCATGCAACAGCCGTTTTGAAGGTGTTGGAGTCAAGTTGGTCATGGCCACAATGTATTGTAGCCCGCGTGGCAAGAGCGACCTCTTGTCGGATCCATACCCGCTTGAAGTAATCGCGCTCGAAAAGCTGTAACACGGGGACGAATGCGCCATTACGATAGGGAAGCACCGTATCCTTATCTGCCAAATGCTTATCTGACTCAGGGCAACTGATCGCAGGTGTCATGAACTCGGAGTTCCAATTGACTACGACTGAGTTACCGATCTGCCGAAGAATTGCGATGGCCTCTCTACTTGAGTCTCGCTCAGGGCCAAGCCAGATGATGACGTTATCAGCCTGAGAGAAAATGTGGCCCATGATGGCAACCTGTTTGCTTTTCTCTTCTATTGAAGATTGGTTGATACAAATTGCATCGATCCAGATAGAACGCTTTCTATCTTTGTGACGAAGGTGCCGTAGTGCAACATCCAGGTTATGCGTGATGGGAAGATAGGCTCCATCCATGCAACCAATCTCCACAGCTGACGCATTCCTGTCTGATCCCCATGCGTAGGACAATGCATCCCAAACGAGATCATCATTATCTTGATAGAGCAGAAGCCTTTCTCTAGTCTGCAGGATGGGGTTTAGTGTTCGTAGCCATCACGTGTCATTTGAGTTCAATAGGATAATAGAATGACTATGACGCACATGTAGTGGCTGGACTTTGAACGTGATATTGATTCGGTCATTAAACGCGCCAGGTGCAAGGACCGCCAATCGAATTTCGGCGCCCGCATCTGCTAGCGGTTGCTATTCATATGTCATCTGGAGTGTGGTAGTGCCGAAATCTACATATGTCTTATCGAATATATGTCTGAATAACGTAGGAGAAGATGGTTGAGGCTGAGCGAATACTTACCTGGAGCCCGCCAAGCTATTGGGGGGTTACCGATCTGTCACGCGCCACGCCCCATTATGTCACCAATCAGATGCTCCGCATTTTATCACGTGACTGTCTACCCTGGCAGTCCGGTATGGATCGTCTGAAGACATTTAGTTATGAATTAGGTGATAATTAAAAGAAGTAACCTAATTTCTGTCTATGTATGCTCTCTTGCTTTGTAACGCCTACTTCATACCGAAATCTCAGTCTTCTACTAATGAGTTACTGTAACTAGCAAGATTTGAGGAACTAGTATTTTGCTACTCATTCGCATACTGATTATAACATCTGGACTTAATCCCAAGCAAATGTTACTTGCCCGCTGTGATAAGTAAAGCGGTGGTGCTGCCTTCTTTAATTCGGAATACAGTCAATCCTATAGCTCTTAGAATAACTAAGATAGCATATAAAGCATTATGAGACATACGGATGCGTTCTAATTTGCCGAGAAAACCAACCCAATTATCGATTACTTCCCTACCCTTCCTTGCTATATGCCCATCCGCGGCCTCCTAACACCCGCCTGTACAACGACTGTCTTCTTCTAAGAAATCTGGCCCAATGAAATCAGTTGCTTAGTTCATTGAGTCCAATTTCAAGTGCCCCTTCGGTCACAGATGTGATTAGTTAAAAATTATCGAAGCGAATCTTTATTTATCGGCCCGAACTGCACTCACTGTTCCTCGAATATTTTCACAAATACTGTAGCATATGACAAGATCGAAGTCAAAAGATCAAGGGGCGACCCGCAACAGAGTTACTGTAACAGAGTTGAGATCCATTACGGTTTGGGGCGGGTTGATGGTTAAGAAATCTCAGATTATCTCAAGTTAAAAGAAATTACAGGAGTAAGGAGAACAGCGTTAAGAACAAAGTTTGTGAAAGAAATACGCAGCAAAAATATCAGCAATTCGTTGTGAGCTGTCTAATCATATTATGTATTTGCCCCTTATATCAAGACACCCATTAGGGGTCCTCAACGCTGGTACGTTTCAAGCTTGTTGACTTTATGTAGTCAGCTGATCCGCTGAAATTTTGGATTAGACTATAGAAAAACTGAAGAAGCACTAAATAGGCGAAGTTAAGACTGACCATATCTCCCTAGCTATGCATATACAAAGAACGGACACACATAGTAGTTTGAGCTTTCCCACCCTCAAACTATCAGTTTTACGCCAAAGATATATATCAATCCCCAACCTCAACTACCTATCAGGTCTCCAACATGTCTACTAGCTCAATGGTCACTTTTGCTCTCAGCGTCACTGCTGTTTCTACAGCGGCCTGCCCGAAACTTGCCAACAATCCAGATACTAAATCGACTGATACCTTTGAAGCGTACTGCCAGTTCCCGTCAAGCATCGACTGCCCGGTGGATGGCAGGATTCACATCATCAAGGAAGCGCGTGTCCAGGAAGTTGTTAATGCCGATAGAAGTGGACAGCCTCTCGAATCTAGCGCAGCTAACACAGGTTCTGTGCGCTGCAGCACCCCATAATTCCATAACATTCCCTACTGGATTGTAAGTTCATCGTGGGCAATAAGAGGTATCTTATGGAAGCCTTTATGCTAGTTTTAAATTTATAGACGGGACTTCCAAACTCAGCTGGTACATTGTACTACGCGTTAGCTTCTAACGGTACATTCTACCTTTGCACCACCATGTCAGGAACAAGTGCGTCTGGCTGGCCCGATGAATGCAAAGAAAACAGACGAGTGATGCGATTGTATTGTTAGAGAGAAAAGGCTGGAAAGACCAACTTATTTCCTTCTTAGCTATTGTCTACGTTCCCTGTCAGGCAAAACTTCTGTATCCCGTATATGCATGCATGTGACCCAGCCTCTTGTACATAAAGCCTAGTGTATACTCCTTACTCAGATCCTATACAACATCTCCTCCAACAATAAGACCCCTTTCCCAGTGAAATCACCTTTCTATGTAATGCTTCAATTTAGAATATCTCTCTGCTTTTTATTCTTATCTTAATGTCACGTGACGTAATTGGTTATGTATTATAAGGGTTTTTCAAAAGCACCATTGTTAACGTTTCCTACATGCAAGCGCCGCACACAGGCGAGCTCCACCTTCCACTAAAATTGCACACTTTATCGTATGGCGGCTCAACGGACCACTATTATGTTATCTTCAAATTAACTATAAATTGAGTATGCTATTCATGTAATGAATTCCAACTAAACCCTAAATAACTACAAGTAGTTATAGTAAATATGAAAGAACAGTTGCCTAGAAATGTGTGTCCAAGCAGGGGTCTTGGGAGTTGCGTGTTTGTTCGGGGGTATACTCTTCAAGTGCTAATATTTGAGATTGCTTTATATAGACATAACTAATGAATTTTCGAAATGTTATGTTGCTCATTGTTGTAAGAGTTTATATGAGTAAAATGTGCCTTAACGTCAAACATGCCTTACGAAATGAGTTAGAAGCTAGTAGAAAAAAGGTTTTTTTGAATGATGATGGTTGTGTATCAAAGAATAACTAGCGAGCGACAATCTTAGAAATCACTCTCTTACTAAGGTTAGTAAGAGATGAAGCGTTGAGAACATCCAGGGTTGTAACGAGTGCGCCAAGTTCAGTTCTGATCCAATTCCTGAGTTCCACTGCTGCAAGCGAGTCAATTCCGTATACAGATAGCGGTCGCTCCACGTCCATGGCTTCAGGGAGATGTAGCATGCGTACAAAAGCGAGGTTGATCGCGTCGACGACCGCCTTTTGTCTTGCTCCTTCGTCGGCAGACTCGTTCTTGAGTAGTAACAAGGCCAACTGAACCTCTGCATCTTTGCCGCTTGCTCCACCAGCATCTCCGCCGCTTGCTGAATGACCCTCAAAAAGCGCAGAAAAGCGAGCGTCCTTTTTCAATTGAGAGTCGGCGGGCTGCGGTACAATCAGACCTGTGATCAACTGTGCATTCGCCTCTGGGCTGGAGCGCGGGTGAGCATGTTGCTGCAGCACCGAGACGTAAAGGATCTTAGCTAACAAGCCGGTGTTGATGCCTTTGAAGACCCGAGTGTCGAACACGTTTTGCAGATTCTCAGTTTCCGCAATGACACCAGAATCTTCGATTACGCCCAAATTGACAGAGCACACTGCTTGGTCGCGAGCACGACGAAAAGCAGCAAAGGAATCGAGGAAGACATTGGCGGCAGCATAGTTGGCCTGACCTCGGTTTCCGATGACGCCAGAGATACTGGAAAGGAGGGTGAAGAAGTCGAGGCTGAGGCCAAGCGATTCTGCGGCATTGTGCAGGTTCCATGTCCCGCGAGTCTTGCATTGGACAGCCTCATGGTACTCTGCCAACGTCATCTGGTCAAAAGGACGGTCCTAATGATAGGTTAGCTAAGTATCTACTCAGAAGAGTATGATTGAACATACTCTCAAAACCATTGCGCCTTGAATTATTCCCGCAATGGGGGCCTTTGTTTGTTTGAAGGCGTGTAACACCTCTGCGAAATTGGTAACATCAGCAGTGAGAAGATCGATGTGAGCTCCAAGATCATTAATCTGCTTAACAATGCCCTGCGACTTATGATCCTTGTGCCCGCTGCGAGATATGACAGCAAGGTTCTTAGCTCCTTGTTTTGCTAGGTAAACAGCAAGAGAACCACAAAGACCACGAAGGCCACCAACAATCAGATAGCAACCGTCATCTCGGAATGCCAGATTTGGAGTCGCCCGGCGGATCTATACCTAGAAGTCAGCGACTATGTTCCCAGGCCTGACGGAGATCCAATTGAACGGATAAAACTTACCGGAACCTGGACCTTGGCATCAGGCCCGTCTGACAGTACGACTTTGCCTATATGTGTTCCTGGTCTGAGAAATCGCACTGCCCTAGGGATTTCGGTCCACGAGAAGCGGTGAACTGGGTTAATGGGCTTGATGTGACCCCCTTCCAAGAGCTTGAACAATTTGGCCAAGGATCGCTCAATCAAAGCATCAGGAGCGCGTTCAGCAGACAAGTCAACGGCCCTGAAAGAGATGTTGCGATCAAAGGGCGTCATCGTCAGCTTATTACGATCTAGGATGTCTTTTTTGCCAATTTCAACCATGATGCCTCCATCAGCGAGGATGCGGAAGGACTCTTCAAGCATATCTCCAGTCAATGAATTGAGCACCACATCGACTCCACGACCATTAGTGGCAGTCAAGATCTGGTCTGCGAAATCCGTATTGCGCGAGTTGAAAATCTGGTCGTTGCTCAAATCGAAAGTGTCCTGTAGAAATTGCCTTTTTTCGGGACTGCTAACAGTGGTAAAGACCCGAGCACCCACATATTGCGCAAGTTGAACGGCTGCAATACCCACACCTCCAGCAGCGGAGTGAATAAGGACAGTCTTGCCTGCAGAAAGGTTGCCCATGTCGAAGAGAGCGTGGAGACTGGTCACATAGACGACTGGAAGCGTTGCAGCATCCTCGAATGACAGAGAGTCGGGAATGCGATGCACACGGGCGGGTACAGTCCGGACCCGGTTGGCAAAGCAACCTTTGTTCCAAACCATAACACGATCTCCCGGAGCATAGTTGGCCACGCTTGAACTGACTTGTTTGACCACACCGGCCGCCTCAAAGCCCAGCTGTGACTCATCACCGGGTACGTGACCCATGCTGACAACCACGTCTTTGTAATTCAGACCAGCCGCGTATATCTCCACTTCCATGTAGCCATGTGGCAACGGAAGAACATCAGGAGAAACCTCACCGAAATGAAGGCTGTCGAGGTTTCCCAAGCGTTCGCAGCGGAGTCTAACAAGCGATTCGCACTCATGGAAGTCAACGGTGTCAATGGGCTGTTCGCTTATATCGTTGCTTTGGAGTGAGGTAAGCTTTGCATCGGGAACAATGCGGCTGATGTATGTTACACCTCCGCGCTCAACAAATTCGTAGTCTTCTGCTGAGTCTGATTCTTCAGCAGAGAGTTGGTCCAGGCATGCTGAAATAGCAACGGGGGTTGCGTCCCCGGTAGCATTCTCAACATCGAGGGTAATGAAGCGTACCTGCTCCTCACTGCGGATAGTACGGAGGAGACCAGCGATAGCGGCTTTGTTGGGGTCATTGACGTTCAAATGGGAACCTACCGTGACCCATAGTAGGCGACATCGTTTTTCAAGAAGATGTTTGATAAGTTCCCACTGCTGTTCGGTAAAGCCGTCCATGAGCGAGTGGAAAAGCTCGTCAACCACTAACACAATGTCTTCGCTGGACTTGATATCTGTTGTAGGGCAAATAGTTGACTTGACAGCCCATCGGTCTGAAGTAAGCTTTTTAATAACCTGAGCTGTTTCTTGCGACTGCTCAGCCGCTGGATCAACAAAGCTCGTGTGGGTAATCGTGCGGCGTACAGTCTCACTCGACTTGCTCCCCTGAAACTGGCAGATGCTGCTTCCATTTCCAGCAGTGAGAGTTGTGCCGAAGTGCTTGAAGAGTGTTTCAGGTAGACTGTGGCCGACGACAAATGCATCTGTCTTGGCGGAGCTGGCAATACTTTGTGCTAATATATCGCTGTCAACTCCGGAAACTGGCCCTTTGACAATGATTAAGTCAAATTTTGTGTCCAGGACAATCTCTCCACCCTTGATGACATCAGCCAGACGAACTTGCGTACCCTGCATCTGCTCTTGGGTTGCCAACATGACCTTAGGATCGCGAAGGGCTAAGATGTACTGTGAGCAAGCAGAACGCATCATAGACCCTTTATCCATGTTCCACATGCTGGAAGAATCTTCTGTGTTCAAGTTAAGCTCTAATACAGCTAGTCCTGGCCTCTTGTGAACAGCCAGATTGATTAGATTGCCAGTATCCTTGGTCGCAAGATGTTGCTGTGCTACAACTTTGGGGATCTTGAATAATGTATCGACATCGGCGTTCCATAAGAGACGAGTGAACGTGTGGCCTGCCTTCTCGTTGTTGCCCACCTCAATCTCTCCTTGCTCAAGACCTCTCATCTCAAATAGACAAGTGGAGTCTACAGGACTGAAAACCTGAATGTTCGTGGTGTAATTGCGTGGATGGTCTTTGTCTCCAATGCCTACCCAGTTTGCGGACGCCAATGCGATACCCTCACCATCGACTGGCAGATTCTTTCCACCCTTGATAACCATGCTACCAATGATTTTGGGAACGAGAACCGCAGAGCCGGAAGTGGGCGGCTCACCGTTCCACAACGATGGGGAAGTTGCCTGTAAACAGGAGTCCAAAATAGCTGGATGCATTGGGTAAGTGCACTGTCCGAGAGGGTTTGATGGTGGTGGCTCAAGGCTAACAGTAGATCTCGAAGATCGTCTGCCAATGGAAGACTCAACTGCGATGTGTTTCTGGAAGCAGGGTCCAAACTTGTATCCCATGTCGGCCAATGCTTTGTACCATACACGAGCAGGTGTGGGGAATTCCAACGGTCGCAGATCGTTTGCTGGAGCAGTGATGCTCTGGTAATCTGTTTCAATGCAAACAGAACCTATGCAATGTTCCTGGTCAATCGGTGCATCTTCTGGCACTGAACACACCCGAAATTCGTACCAGGTGTGTGTGGAACCTCCTTTGACGGGTGTCAGCGACAACGTGATACGAATCTCTGAGTTTTCTTCAAGTACCAAGGCACGAAGGATTTTGACATCCTTCAATCGGAAGCGGTATTTTTCTGGCGCCTGATAGTTCCACTTGACAGCCATAGTCATCTGGTAGATGGCTTCAACTGCCATTGCAATATATGCTGCTCCCGGGAAGACAATTTCACTGCCAAGAACATGGTCTCTCAGGAAGGGAACGTCAGAGAGCTTCAAGAGCTTTTTGAACGTTGGTGCCACCCAAGCGGTAGCAGGGATCTTTGATCCAAGAAGATCGTGGTTGACAAACTTCTTGAAACGCCACTCTTTACTGGCTCTAGTTTCGTGCCAATACCGGTTGTTATGGTTCCACGAGTAATTGGGCAGGTCCACGATGACTTTGGCGTTGCTCTTCTCGATTCTATTGACTCTGCTGAGACTGACACTACCCCCAGCAAGATACAGCTGGCCGGCTGATTTGTACAGTGCAAGAACCGATCCCTGGCCGCGAGTCAAGCAAGATGTATATGGAACATCGCTGATCTTTCCCGCAAGGCCCTTCTTTATTTGTGCAATTGGACCAGAGAGCGCATTGGATGGACCAAGTTCAATTAAGAAGTTGGCACCGAATTCCCCACTACGGATCAGCTCTGAGGTTGCCTCTGCAAATCGAACAGGCGAGACCATGTTACTCTTCCAGTATGCTGCATCGAGCTTCTCACTTGGCTCCAGGATATTTCCAGTAACAGAGCTAAACATTCGAACCTGAGAGCCGGTGACTTTTGATCGATGTTTAAAAAGGTCATATTTGAGAAGCATTTCTTCGTAGACTTCGCCGATCTTGGCCATGTAGTCGGAGTGGTAAGCCAAGTCAACAAGCAGAAGGCGTGCAAAATGTCTATCTGTCTGCAACCTATCACGTAGCTTCTCCAATGCTGATCGTGTGCCCGATATCGTGAGACTATCCGGACTATTGTAACAGGCAATCTGAACCTTGCCTTCCTCTGGCCGAAGGTATTGCTCAATCTTATTGGCGCCAATACCAACGGCAAGCATCCCAACGGGTTCCAGAGGCGCTCCAACTTTCTTGGCTGCCTGACCACGATAAAACGCAGTCTTGATTGCATCAGCGTAGGTAAGTTGCCCTGCAGCAGCGGCAGCAGCGATTTCACCAGAAGAGTGACCAACCACCGCCTCAGCTTTGACTCCCCAATCATGCAAGACTTCTAAAAGCGCTAGCTGCAGAGCCGTGACTAGCGGCTGCGAAAATTCGGGTTGACGGAGAGCTTCAGCACTTCGAGCCGAAGTGAGCTCCTCCATCAGCGTCCACGATGGCGGTTCGGATAAAGATTTGAGGGCCCCATCGAGTTCTCCAATGATCCTTCTCGCAACTGGGAAGTTCTTTAGAAGATCTGCCCCCATCTGAGACCACTGTGCACCTTGCCCGGTAAACACGAACCCAACGCGAGGAGTTGAGGGGGCTTGCTTTCCAGTCACCAAATCTCCAGTTGATAGGTTGGGCTTTTTTGATTGCGTGATTGTGAAAGCACGGTAGTACAGCTTGCTTTTCCTGTCGCTTAGGGTATAGGCTAGGTGGTCAATATCAATCGATACCGTAGGGTCGAGAAGATGGTTGGATAGGTTTTTGACATAGTTTGTAAGTGAGCTCGGCTCATTTGCAGAAAAGACTAAAAGTTTTGGTGGTATCTTCTCTTCCTCTTCGCCTTCATCTTCAACATCCTCGTCGTCAAAGAAGTTATTGGAAATGTTTTGGTAGGAAGACACGTGAGGGGACGACGTGGCATTCTCGAGAACAGCGTGGGCATTAGCGCCTCCAAAACCAAACGAGTTTACACTAGCTCGTCGAATGATCGAGCCTTTCGGCCACTGAACCATGGTTCGGCTCGCCCGTAGTTTGAGACGCTCCCAATCGATCCTGGGGTTTGGCTTGCTGAAAGTTGGGTTGCCTGGAATTTGGCCACGTTCGACAGCCATAGTGGCCTTAATCAGACCTGAGATCCCAGCAGCGGCCTCAGAATGACCGACGTTACTCTTTATTGACCCGATGATCAACTCCTGGCCAGCCGGGCGACCAGGCGCGAACACCAAAGCAACACCCTGGGCCTCGATGGGGTCTCCAGTAAGTGTACCAGTTCCATGACATTCAACATATTGCGTATCTCGGAAATCAATGATGCCGGCGTTCTTGTAAGCCATTCTGGTAACAGCTGCCTGAGCTTCTGAGCTCGGGTTGGCGAGACCCGCTGTGCGACCAGACGCGTTCGAAGCTGTGCCCCGGATAACAGCTCTGATGGGGTCGTTATCACGGACTGCGTCGTCTAGCCGCTTCAAATAAACAATGTTGGCAGCCTCGGCCTTGACATAGCCATCGGCGCTGGCATCAAAACTCCTACACTGGCCGGAGGCGGACTGTGTCTTGTTCATAGTGCCGACTTCCTCGTTGTGCTCTGGTGCGAGCCATAGATTGGTCCCTCCCACAATCATACCGTCGGCCTGATGGGTATCTAAAAAGCGGCAAGCTACGTCTAGTGAAACCAAACTGCCAGAGCATGCCGTATCGATAGATATACTCGGGCCGCTGATGTTGAAAAAATGACTTAAACGGTTACTGAGAATCGACGGTGAGAGGCCAATGGTGATCGAATCTGCTCTGTCCTCGGGATCGCGATTCTGGATAGCTGTATAATCTGAGAAGCTGTTTCCGACAATGACACCAGTCCTGGTGCCACTAATCTTCTCGAGCGGGATACCACCGTTTTCCAAAGCTTCATATGCTACTTCCAGAAGCTGGCGTTGCTGTGGGTCCATGGCGACACAGTCCGCCCGGCTAATGCTAAAAAAATGGCCGTCAAAAACAGCGGGATCGACATACTCCATGAACATACCACCCGGAGACTTCATGGTTCTTGCTCTTCCCGTTCCATCGTAATGACCAGCGAGATTGAAGCGGCTCTCTGGGGGCGTGTTTTCAGCTATCCCACCCCTTTGAAGAAGGTCCCACAGAGCTGTCGGGGATTTGCTATGTCCAGGTAGTCGACAACCCATGCCAACTACGGCAACGGGCGTCTGTAGGCGTTCTTGGGACGCTGCGGGAACCACAATATCGTTTCCGTCTTCGCTAGAACAGAGACTCGTCGCGATAGAATCTTCCGGGCTCATAGAGCTCATGGGCGTGCTAGTCGAAATAGATTCTGTCATTGTTTCGTGGTTGTTGAGCACGTTGCTAAGGTTTAACAACTCGGTTCCTGCTAATCTGAAGTAAAACCGAGTGGAATGTGACAATTAAGTCAAAGAGATAATTTTGAAGAATGCAAGTATTTACGAGATGTAAAAAAAAAACAGGAGCATGTTGTAAATGACCTTTAAATACGTTTTCCATCTGTAAGTCAGTAACCATCTCTATGCTGATTATTTCCCTTATACCCCTCGTCGTGATAGACACTTGGCACTATTCCGCTCTTGGAAGGGTCGGTTTGATACTGCAATTGTCGTGGTAGACACTGCAGAGTGCGCCAAGCTACGATTATGTGCCGTGGGATTACGTACAGTATCATTCGATCGATATTTTTGCAAACTAGAGTCGGTGCCCGTATCCCTTGCGCGGCTGCATAACCACACGTGACGATACAAACTAGTTATACTGTTAGTGAGCGCGCATAATCTGCAGGAGCGTAAGTAGTAATGTGGGGTTCGGGGCTTTTCAGGCGTACCGACAGAACACCCGCTTCGACCGCAGCTTCCCAACAATGCAAGTAAGCTGCTTACTACAAATCCCTGTACCCCTCGGATCCTCTATGGTAGCTTTTCTGAAGAGGAATCTTTTTCGGAGTTGCTTGCAGCCAATCCAGCTCGAGAAATTAACCCGCATATGCTGCTCCGCTGTAGTTCTCGATCCCTTCGCTAGTAATCTCTTTGAAGAGTTTACATACATAGCTTTACTATTTTGGGCCTCTGCTACAGCACTAATGTGCATGGACTGTACTGTGGGATCAGGTCGACTGATAACAACTCTGATAGGATATTACTAATTATACATATGTGCTCGACGTCTTGAGTTAAGATGGCTACTTGATCGTGTCTATCGTTGGGAAATTTATATGTTACAATCTGTTATTTGCATTCCGCTATTCACTCGTATAGCTATCGAAAAGAGATCCAGTGACCAACGGATAAGAGCATGGACAATATGAAAGGCAGAGAGGATGTTAGCTTCCCGACGCTCGACGGTCTTACTCTGCGGGGGTGGCTCTATCCTGCAGCACAGAAAGGCCCAGCAATCATTATGACGCCTGGCGTATGTACATCCACTCTCCTTCCAAAGATTAACCAGCAGTCTAATCTCCTGTTTGCAGTTCAATATGACCAAGGAAACTATCATCAGCGATGTCGCTGAATACTATTTCGCGGCAGGCTTCACAGTCCTTAGCTACGACCCACGGTCAATCGGTGCAAGCGAAGGTCTACCACGAAATGAAGCTAACCCAGTCAAGAACATGGAGGACTACATGGACGCCTTAACCTTCCTGAAGTCGCACGAGATGGTTGACCCTACTAGAATTGCTTATTGGGGTTACTCGTTTAGTGGTATGGTGGCGCTATGCGCAGCTGCACTTGATAAACGAGCTAAGGCCGTCATTGCCTCGGGTCCATTGACTATCTGGGAGTTCAAAAAATGGAAACCAGTACTGGCTAAATGCATGAAAGACCGAGAGTCTCGTTTGGCGGGCAACAGGCCAGTGAATCTTCCCATGTTGACGGAAACTGGCGAACAACCGGCAGGATTTGGCGAAAATTTTGAAAGCGAGGGTGTGCTCAACATCATTGCTCGCGCTGTTGAGTTGCAACCCAATTTCAGACCCGAGACAGCGCTAAGCAGCTATTATCATATCGCTGCTTTCCAGCCGTTTTCGCTTCTTCCGTTTGTAACACCAACACCAGCATTCGTCGTATACGGCGAGCAAGATCAGATTTCGCCAGCTCATCTTCAGAAAACCTTAATTTACGATGTTCTCTCGGAACCAAAACAACTTCTTACCGTGCCAGATAAGGCGCACATGAATCTTGTAAGCGGGCAAGGATCTGACAGGATACTGGATAAACAGATCGAGTTCCTCAATTGTGTGTGGACAAAGAGTTGATGGGCGGCCTTTTTTCTTCGTAGTGTGGTAGATTGGTTAAGAGTTTTGTGAAAAAAAATTGCATCTTGATTTACAACCATCATATGTCATTCACATCATCGGTTAAACTTTAGGCGCATCAAAGATAATGAACTCCCAGCTACATGCCCTTTTCCAATGTGTATTTGTATTTATGTTGGCGGCCCCTTGGGGCTCTAATACTTTGTCAAGAGTTTGCGAACCAATTTACAGCTACCACTGTACATAAACGCACTCAAGCCCAGTGAAAACTATTATTCTTGTTATGACTACTATGAATCTATCAACGTCTAGGAGACTGAATCACAATATCAAGTGCATCCCGCCTGCTCTTTCCCAGAGGTCTCATATATCTTGATATAGTGGAGCAAAATAGAGATTATACATAGTATTGATTAAGGGGTTTGGGCTGCCATGTTCCGGTTATTTGCACTTCACCCTGCAAATTTCTACAAAATTGAACTATGTCTCTCCAAATTATGTTCAGCATGCATATATAGATGAGGAATCTGGCGGAGCTACCAACATCTTCATCCTCCTACCCCACATGGGCCGTCACACCCTTACCCAATTTTCTCCGATCAACGACAAACGCCACAACTGAGACCACCAACGCAGCTGCACCAAGCGCCAAGGCAACCGCATAAGCAGTCTTTATGCCTTCCATGTATGCCTCAACCGCATCCTGCAGCTCTTCTTTGCTTAACATTGCTCTCATCTCAAGAGGGCCAGCGTGGAAAAGGGAGTCCGCACGCGCTGATCCAAATTTTCGAACTAATGAGGACAAGAGCTTGTTCCCGAATAGAGTCTGCGCTACACTCAACCAAACAGCACCAGCAAGCAGTTGAAAAAATAAAGCCATTGCTGAGACCGTGGAGAGGTCGGGGGCATCGACAAGGGCCTGGCATGCGATGAGGGCAATCTGCACGCTGAGACCGAGGCCAATACCTGCGGGGATTTGGTATCCAATCCACTGGTGCGCCGGAGCGTCAACACCAAGGGTATAGGTCAAGGCGCTGCCAATAGTAATGAGAACGTTGCCTGCTATTGCAATGAGCTGAAATTCTCCCGTCATAGATATGAGGATGCCAGAGAGGATGGCAAAGATGGAACTAGTAGCGAGCAGAGGAATGATGCGAATGCCAGACTGTGTTGGGTTCGTCCCAGAAACCGCTTGGAAGTAGATGGGGAGGTAGTAGAGCAGCATAAAGAAAGTACTACATACGCACACCTGTTGCATCATGAGGAGTGCGATGGGTCTAGTGGTTAGCAGCCGTATATTTAGCGTGGCTCGCTCCTTCAGATATCTCTCCGCAATGACGAAAACTGCAGAAATCAGCCCTGCTGCAACTAATGTTCCGATGACACTGCCGGAACTCCAGGATTGGGTTATACCGCCCCATTGCATGCCAAGAAGGAAGCAGATGACGGCTCCAAGCAGGAGAAGTGTTCCTGCGAAGTCCATCTGCAGCAGCTTTTCTTTCCATGACGCCTGAACCGGCCTGCCATGTTTGGGGGTGGCGAAGAAGAACATTACGAAGGCGCTGGCAAGACCTCCAACAGGCAGGTTGATCCAAAAGCACCTTGCACAAATTAGCTGCGAACACTACTTGTAGAAGAAGCCCACTCACCATCTCCAGGAAACATAATCCGTGAAAGCACCCCCAACCAATGGCCCAACTACACTTGCAATGGCAAAACTAGCAGATATGACGCCCTGTAATGCAGCCATCTTTCTAGGCGGTGCACTCAAAGCCACGATCAAATAACTCCCAGTACTGACCCCTGCACCTCCAATGCCTGAAATCGCCCTACCGATAATCAATGTGCTTGATCTCGGTGCTGCAGCACAAATCACACTGCCGACCTCGAATAACAGAATTGATACCAGATAGACGAATTTCACGTCGAAGAATTTGTATAGCTTGCCCCACATGCTTTGAAACGCGGCCATGGTGACAAAGAAACCACTGCCATACCAGGCGATCTCATCCAAGGAACGGAACTCATTTGTGATACGCGGAATCGCTGTAGATATTATCGTATTGTCTAGAGCAACGAGAAAGACGGACAGTGCACAGGAAGTGAGAATAAGCATGAGTCGAGAAATTGCTGGGTAAGTAGGATCGGCGTCTCCATGGCTTGGTGTATCATCTGTTCCAGGATGTTGCTCGCCTCTTTTTCCATCATCTGCTTCGTCTTGTTCTGCTACTACCGCTGTTGGAATCTCTCGCTCTTCGAATGGATTGTTGTGCATAGTGCTTGGAGAAGGTTTGTCGCATAACAGTGTGTCGTCGTATCTTGAGTGTGGTTGTCCTTCTTGCATTGGATATATATCCTGCGAACAATACTCTTGGTTTGTTACTGTCTCCGTTTTCTGTGGTGGTGCTTCGCCGCGTTTGATGTATCTTTAAGTCGGTATTCCCTCGCATACGATATGATGTTAGATTGCAATTCAGCTGGTCCATAAGTCCAGCAAGGATCAAACAAAATCCTCATACTGAAAGCTAGAGTCTGACAAATCAGCTAGCACAGAAAAGAAAGCCCTTGCTGACAAATGTGCTGGCACCTGTGTATGGTAGCAAGAACCCCTGGAACACTGGTAGGCTCTAAATCGACGGCATGCTTAGATAAGAGACTTGGCAGTGGAGATTTGCAGTTTGCTTACCGCATTCTATGTCCGTAACCTGTGATTCATAGGGACGCTGACTTGCATGCACCTAGGAGGCGTTTATCTGCATAAATCCCGACACTAGGGTTACCCAAGTCCGGGGAACATGTGAGGACCGGTACGAGGACGCCCAGATTACTCATACACGAGATTGGATAGCGTGGGACGAACGTGGGAGCAATGTTAGATATCTTGCCCAATAAATAGTGGTAAATAAAAACTAATCAGGGTTAGAGCCCAAGTAGTCAATAAGTAGTGAGTTACAACTACGTAAATGTCTTAAAAACCCATGATAGCAAGCTGGCAAACTTTGGGGCGACAAAAAGACATGCAGCAGTGCCGATATGTACTTCTAAGATCAATCCCATAGGCACAGTTTGTGGCGCTATTGCACGTTAATCAATATGCTCGCTTTTATCTCTTGAGACAACGAAGATGTGAGAACATGCACTTGTTGAGAATCCTCAAAACAAAGTTTGGGCATTTCGTTTTGAGACTGAGCTTCCTAAAAAAAGTGTTTGATTAAAGATATCCTGGTCCAGGCATGTTATCATTTATCCGAGATGAACATTTCCATGATACATTCACTGGTTTAGTAAATCAGTGAGTTTTCCGAGAGTGTATCTATGTGGTGGACTTAATGACGGCTCTCACGCCCTTGCTCTCACGGCGTGGCATCGGCACCACCATGTCCAGTACAAAATCCACATCCTCCCTCGTTGTCTCATACAATTCAATTTCGAATCTGCGGAAAAGCGTCGCTATCGCAACATACAGCTCCATGTACGCAAGTTCTTTACCTAGACACCCTCTTGATCCCTTTCCAAAGGAAAAAAGGTAATGTGAAAGTGGACGCCCTCCAGGTCCGGTCGGATTGTTGAGCCACCGCTCGGGCTGGAAGCTTAGTGCGTTTGGAAACACAGTTTCGTTCGTGTGAATAGAGTATGCATCCATACAAACAGTGACACCTGCCGGGATTACCCATTCATTGAAATGTAACGGATGCAGACGGTTTACTCGAGGCAGGCTCTGGACCTGGCCATATGACATGCGGAGAGCTTTGGAACAGTTTGTAAATATCGTGTCGTATGACCTCGTAGAAAACCACCGTAAGACTTACATTCGTGGATAACGGCACCTAGATAGGGGAGTTTTTCAAGATCACTGTAAGGAAGAATGACACTCGGATCGGGCATAGCTTCAGAAAGCTCAGCTTTGAGTTTTGCAAGCACAGCGGAGTTATCCAGCAAGTGAAAGCTGCCAACTGTGAGGGCCCATTTGGTAGTTTCCATTCCTGCTCCAACCACGCTTGACGCTTCTTGGGTCAACCGGCCCACTGATTTATCGGATTCGGGCAGAGAAGAGCTGAGGATATCGTGGAATATAGTTGGATGGTTGACGTCCAACTCTTTAACATCCCTACCGTCTACAATAGCTGCAACCTGATTGCGAATACTCTGTTAATCCTAGTTAGTATCATAATTGAAAGATGTCAAGAAAATACTTACCGTTGTAAATTCTACAATGGGCTTTACGTGTGGCATAAGCAAGAGCATAACCGAAGTTGGGATTGCGTTCATAACATCGTTTATGATCTTGAAATGTGCATTCCAATGCCCGTACCATGCGAGAGCCTGCACACCTAGCGCCAGTGGTGATTCGAAGTCGGCTGCTGCAGTACAGCTTGTCGAGCGGCCAAATGCTAATCCTGTAACTGTGTCCATTGTCATACTAGACCACACATCATTGAAGTTTACAACCTTTCCGGTACCGGCATATTCGGTTGCAAAGCGAAATGAGATACGCTCAATGATTTCTGTCAAACCAGCGTGCAGGCCTCGAATGCGCTGTTTGGAGAAGAAGGGGTTCAGAGCGGCTCGCCTCTGCTGGTGCTGCTCGGCCAGCGGTGTGCTAAACACTGCATCTGGGATACCGAATCGATGTCTATACTTTTCGGACTTGTCCAATGGCTTTGACCTTGTGCTGGGTCCGTACACATTGGAGAGAAATGTTGGGTCGTTTATGTGTAATTCAGAAGGGGTTATGCGCACAATAGGACCGTATTGCTGATGAAGCTTTTCGATGTGCCGCGCAAACTGGCCGCCCTCTCCGCCATTGATGAAGATGTCGTAGTATCCTTCATACCATCCTGTGACACCGGCCAGCTTCGGGCCTGGGAACTTCGCTAGAGGGCTGAAGAAGAGCCTGTAGATGGCGATGGCTAGGCAATAGAAGATGGAGGTGATGGCGAGTATCGCCAAGAATAGAGGCATTTCTAAGAACAGCATGTCGAAATTATTCAGCAACGTGAGAACAATTTGTTGGCAAGCCGAGTGGTCTTGGCAAATCTGCTCAGAGAAATCATTGTGAAGCTTCACTTATGCTTGAGAAGGTGCATAGATATCACACCATGGCTCTCTATTCTCGGATGCAAGTCTCTCTCCGGCTGCAGAGGCATAGCTCTCGCAACGTAGCTTGCAAAGATAGCTTGAAAAGTAAGCAGGCATGCCGAAAGTGGATTGGTGTTGTACCACACATCAACGCATCCACAGATACTGCACATGTCGATGCTCTAGATGATTTTCATGCATGCTTACCTGCATATGTCGAAACATGTGGGTCAAGGGTCTGATTCTCCGCTTAGGTGCATCCGTCGGCTTACCCGAGCCGCACAGGCTATACGTACGTAGATCTAAAGCGTCTGTGCGGCCACAACGACCAGTCCGCTCACATTGCCCCCACTCAACCACGCTCCGTCAAGATCCTTTGAGAGCTAACGACACGCCGGCCAAGAATAACAGCCAACCGGGACGCGCCAAGATAGAAAGTTTGGTTTGAACCGCTGTGCTTCTCCCTTGCGTTTCTAAGCTGACAAATGTAACTATCAAGCCGTCCAGCCGGCAGAGGATAACAACCACCGAACGTCTGCTGTATGTTATTCCACTCAATAAACTCACTCAGTTAACTCTCATCTTACATTCCCCATCCCAACTATGTCCACGTCCACAGTTATCTTCATCACCGGTGCCGGAAGAGGTTCGTGTACAACAAATTCGAACCAAGCAAACAATTCCGTTAACCTGAACAGGCATCGGTAGAGGTCTGACTCAAGCTTACCTCCAGCGCCCAAACCATACTGTGGTAGGAAGTGTCCGTGACAGCACCGCTCCGGTCTGCGAGGAGCTCAAGAAGCTGCCAGTTGCTGAAGCATCTCGTCTGATCCTCGTCACTATCGATTCTTCGAAGCTCGATGATCCTGCAAACGCTGTCAAGGCGGCTAAGGAGGCTGGGATAGACCACATCGACATTGTCATCGCCAATGCAGGAACCTCGCCTTCACCTGGACCACTTGACGCAGCCAACCTCCATGAGATTGTTGATGCGCTCAACGTAAACACCATGTCCCCCATTGCTCTTTACCAGGCTGCTAAGCCACTGCTTGACAAGTCCGCAAAACCCATCTGGATCTCGATGAGCAGTGCGGCTGGGTCAATTGGGAATGTGTCTGTCCACCAGGCTCACTGGCTTCTGGGCTATGGAATGTCCAAGGCCGCAATGAACTTCTTCACCATGGCTGTGCACGGGTCCCAGCCTAATTATGTTGCCTACGCCATTCACCCTGGTCTTGTACAGACTGACCTTGGCAACACGGGCGCGAAGATGCAAGGAATGGAGCTTGCCCCTATCACACTTGAAGACAGCTGCGCCAAAGTCATGGCTACCGTACGCCCTCGACATCGAATGGTTCTCAATCACAGTACTAACAATACGACCAGGCTGATAATGCTACGCGCGAAAAGACTTCTGGCAAATTTTTAGACGTTATGACCGATGGAGAGTTCCCGTGGTAGATTGTGTATTAGAACATTCCTAGAGCAAATCTGATCATCTGGAACTATGTAAATGAAGTGTGTTACTATCAATTCAGATATCATCGTGAGATTGCGAGTATCATCGAATGTGCAAACTTTCTGAAATACCGTCTCTATGTTGTGAAAATTCAATAAGTGATAGAAACTTGTTAGTCAGAGGTTGCTTTTCTCACAATCATTCAATTCATACTGACATAACTTCTGCCCTTACAGTGTTCCTCCCAGACCCTAGGCTCGCGGACATGTCCGATGGATAGTGAAACATGTGTGGAAAAAGTCTAGGATATCTTTCCAGCAGCGTTTGAATTAGAAACGATAAGTATCGTCAGGCTCCCGAATAAGCCACCAGGTTGCATCGTCCACCAGGTCGCGGTGCTATTTTTACGCCTTATGCGATAGTTTGTCCTATCTCAGCTCCACCTATTTCCTCTTGCATGAATCATCGAGCTAGTGGTATCCAATCTAAACGTTCGTATAAAGCAGTTCTCACTTCGTCCAAGTACGGCGTACAACTCGGCGGCACATCTTAGCCCTCGCCCCCACATGTCTCAACTGCTTATGTGCCCTTGATAGTTTTCACAATCCCGAGACCGCCCTTGGTGCTCCCTCAAGGCCTACCAAGTCCTAGGTAGCTAAAGTACTAACATGGAAGTAGTATAGATTGATCGCAGCAATGCACGGTTACAGCTGCTGTAAGGTTCTAAGTTATACTCTCGTGAGACCTATAAAATCGAGAGCTGGACGCTCTCGTGAAGTAGCTCGATACATCTCTTCATCCAAGTATCATCACTTTTTGCAGTTTCCACGTACCTTTGACGTGCATCATCAAATATGCTGTCTTCATTCTATACCGCATTGGCACTACATGCAGCGCTAAGCTCTGCAGCTCCGCTTGTTACTGGTCTGGACAATTGCAAGGTGATCCCAGGCGACAAGAAATGGCCAAGTATGCAGACTTGGGCCCATTTGAACCAGACTGTCGGGGGCAGATTGATTGCAACGACACCCATTGCGGAAGTGTGTCATGTACCCAATTTTGACAAGACACAGTGTACAAAGTTGAGCAGTAAATGGGGCGTTGCATCTCTCGTGTGGGTCTCCCTCTCCGTCCGAGCTTCCTATTCAAAGTTAACTAATCGTTTCTTCAAGTGTTCCTACACCAGCAGAGTTTATGTCTATTTGGTTCCAAAACAACACATGCACGCCTTTTGGCGCCTCGTTAGCACCGTGCGACCTTGGTAATCGCGCCAGCTACTCCATCAATGTGCAGTCTGCGGAAGACGTGCAACAAGGACTAAAATTTGCACAAAAGCAAAATGTCCGCCTCGTGGTGAAGAACTCAGGCCACGATTTCTTCGGGAAATCCACCGGCAAGGGTGCCCTCTCGCTGTGGGTTCACAACCTTAAAGACAAAATTGTCATTCCCCAATACCAGTCATCGTACTATACCGGCCCGGCAGTTCAGATCGGTGCTGGTGTTTCGGGAGGCGAGGCTGCCAGTTTTGCCGCCGATAATGGGTACCGCGTTGTAGTAGGGTCCTGTCCCACTGTCAAAGCTGCAGGTGGTTTCACTCAAGGTGGAGGCCACTCTTTTCTTACCGGAATATATGGATTCAGCGCAGACAATGTCCTTGAGTGGGAGGTCGTCACTGCAGCTGGTGAACATGTTACCGCGACACCTACCAATGAGTATGCTGACCTTTACTGGGCACTGAGCGGAGGCGGCGGAGGAACATATGCGGTAGTCATCTCCATGAAGATCCGTGCTTACCCCGATGGCAACGTTGCAGTTGCCTCTTTGTCCATTAGCGTGGCCAACTCGGGAAGCGTTGATACGTATTGGAATGCTGTTGAGGCCTACCATGTTGAGTTACGACGTCTTGTAGACCGAGGTTTTGTTGCTGAATACTCGCTCTCCAATGATTCCGTCTATCTTTTTGGCATGATGGCACCAGACCACACCTCTGAGACTCTTCGCGCAGCTATGGTACCCATGGTCTCGGCCCTGAGCTCCAGCAGCTCGTCGTTCCTCACTGCGGAATCAGTAAACCTTCAGATCACGCACCGCGATAGCTATCACGGGGCTTATGCCGCCACAGTTGAGCCGCTCATGGCTGGTATTTCGCTTGCACCTGCTATTGCAGGACGCTTCCTCCCACGCTCCGTGATTGAATCAAACAGTACCGCATGGCACGCTGCGCTAAGAGAAGTGACTTCAATCAGCAATGGCCGCTACGCCTTGGCTGTAACCGCACTCAACGCGCAGAACAATAATTGCAGCACGCCTGTCGCAGCCAATGCGGTGCAGCCCAATTTCAAAGACGCCTTTAACAGTATCATTATCAGCCCAAAGTGGGACAACACTGAGCCATGGAGCGATGCAGGAAAGTTGTTAGATGAGCTTGAGACTACCGTCATGCCCATCCTGGAAAAGGTCACACCTGGTGCTGGCGCATACAAGAATGAAGCCAGCTGGGCTCAGAAAAACTTCCAAGAAGCCTTTTATGCAGGAACCTATCCTAGACTGCGGGAAATCAAGTCAAAATACGATCCCAATGGTATATTTTATGGTCTCACGACAGTCGGCAGTGAACTTTGGGTGTCGGATTCTCAAGGAAGGCTATGTGCAACATGAGTGTTACAGCGCAATGTTAGTGAGAGCAAGTGAAGGATCTTTAATAGCATGATTTCATTTCACATTTCTCTGTGTCTTCGAATCAGCACAGTTCCCACACATCTGAACCCAGTGCTTAGGTTTTTATGTAGGAAAAGCAGAAATGTAGATGTTCTTGTTTACAATAATGTGTTTTTTCTGTGCTTACATCTCTAACACATGTAGTACTGATTGAGTACTTCGATGATTAAGCATGGCGGAAGCATCAGCCTTAGAAAAGGATCTTGTAGATAACACTCGATATCTTGCATACTCTAGGCGAATCAGTGAAGTCAATAGTGATAACTTTGGTTGTTATAATTCTATGTGTGAAATGAATGAAATGCATCAAAATACAACTTCGTTCTTTCCGAGCCCGATATAGTGCAAAGCCTTTAGCTTCGCAACTTTAGGCTGCAAGTAAAAGCCAACTGCATAGCATAGCTTCAAACAACCTCTCCCTCACACCAATCTTACAGTAATAGAAGAAAGCAAGATAATCAACCTTCAGAGATAGTTGCACCCAGTCCCAACATTGTTCTGCAGCTACAACTAGGTCTGACTACTGCCTCTTCATTTAGTCGTGATCTAAAAATAATTGGAGTTATTCGTTTCAGCTACTATCACATAGGGTGGCGATCAATTGACTATGTAGCTGAGTTTCTTAGCTCCAAAGCGCTATCAAATCACTGCTGTAAGCTAATGCACCCGATCACAATTTGCCCGCCGCTGACAGATATAGTGGCCAACCCCCACTTGCTATAGGTTTGTAAAGCTGCGTCTCCAAAGCTTTAGGAAACCACCTGCTGTCCTAGTATGGAAACGTGGCATTTAGGAGCGGAAAACTTCGTAAATATATATCGAGTATGTGCCACATAATGGTTGCTTCTTCAATCGCGTCATGAAGTAGTTCTAGCGCATCTAGTTTGAACAGTTCCTCGAGGAACTCTATGCAATGCTGCAGCGTGTCGCTCACTCAATATCTTGTCGATTTTAGTTCCTTAGTAGCAAGAATAGGTCTAGGGTTTATAAGAAGATAAATCTGGATCAGCATATTATTGCATCCCGGTGGAAGGTCGATGGGTCGCATTTTCTTGGCGGCAGTCGCGGGCTTGCCAGCTCTTCCATGGAACACGTTAGTTTCCACTAATTTAACGTTACCGACAAAACCACATTTTGGGGACAAATCTCACCAGCTGTACTGTCTAGACCGTCTTACCCGGGTAACTACGAACACCGATCCTTAAACTACATTAAAGCGCATTACACTTCATAGGCTACGTATCAGCTGATGGCAACGCTCTAAAGATATCTCACTGCGATTTATTGACTACTGGGGCCACAGCGTAGAGGTCAAAACAGAGACGCAGGGAATATAGTCTGGGCAGTCTTCAGCTGTTGAGAACGTGATTAAGTCTATCTGTAACGATTGTACTTATATATGGAATTACGCCCACAGAATGAGTAAAGAGAGAGTAGAGCCAGAACGAATGAATCTATGAAGGCATCTAGTGATCTAATAATATTCTCGTTGTGATAGTGGAGTGGATTCCGGTGAAGGAAGCTAACGAAAATGGCTAGTAGATATTACCCCCTCTCATTAGGAAGATGACATAAATTGCTGATGTGTAATCATACCCACATGACTAGGCGCTCTGGTGTGGTAAGACCGCAATAAGAAAAGATCCAAACCCTTGCTAAGCACCCTGGCATGTGAGTAACAACTAAGCTCCACATGCTATGAGCCCAGTTACCAAAGAAGAAACACGCCTTGCCTTGGAATAATTTTCCGTGTTTCTTTGAGTACCATTTTCGAATCGAGGGTCACAATGTTGCCTGCATATCCTGGGAGAATTTTGGTGGAAGAAACGCGACAGACAGTGTCAGCCAAGCGAAGGTTGCAGAACCGGGTTGCGCAACGGAAATACCGAGGTAAGACCAACACATTACCAACACAACCACAAATTTCCTTACTTTTTAGAACGAAAGGCACACAAGAGAAAGGCCCCAGGAGGCATAATCCTTGACCTCCCCGCCGCCCCATACAGCGAGATAATCCCTACACAACACTCTCCTATACAACAAGGACACCAAGAATTCGACTATTGGCTGGACGACCTTCTAGTTGCTGAACGCAACCCACTTATCGCAGCTCCACTTTCGAAAGCTTCCAGCGCCAATACGGACAGTATTGAAGGGCACCCGATTACCCAGTCAAATTCGTCCGATTGGTACAACCCCACGGGTACGGGGTCGGATATGCTTTATATGTATGCACACTCCGGCTTCTTGCCATCGCCCATCCCCCATCCGAATAATCAAGCGTTTGGAGGATTGGTGGGAATGCATCATACCACATCATGGTCTCAAGAGAAGCAATCACATGGACAAGAACAGCACCCGACATACCTTACTCCCCCTCCAAGCGATGCTGGTAGAGCCAGTAGTCCACGAATGACGGTAGAACCATCAACAACAGCAGCCAACTCCTCCAAACAACACGAACAGGGTTTGCGACCACAGTTCGCTCATGCTACAACGCCTTTACAGCACCTTCACGGCACTATTAGTTGTGAAAGGGCAATAGTTGAGGATACTGATATCGAGTCACCCGATCCTCTCTTGCATGTCGCGATCCGTTCACGTAGCCGGGATGTGATCCGCGTCTTGTTTCGCCAAGGCGCGGTTATTGTTGACGAACGTGATGGAAAGGGACGCACAGCACTACATATTGCAGCAGAACTAGGAGATGAAGCTCTGGTAGGTCTGCTGCTAGGTCAAGGAGCAGATGCACAGTTACAGGACCATTCTGGGCGGCTAGCAGTCTACTTTGCTGTTGAAAAGGGTTACCATGAGATTGTTGAGTTATTGTTAAATACATAGACCACGTCGATAGGGTATAGAGTTTTCATGATACTTGATATAGGACTGATGGATACATAACTGCAAGGAACCTAGTAGCGTATACCGACTCTTCAACGCAAAGAAACAGACGTTCTTTTAAAGGTTCAATCACTGGGTATTATTATTATTATTATTATTATTATTCCATTATAGTCCTGTATCAGCCGTTGGCTATGTAGGACTTTGGCCAAAGGCCGTTCTATCTAACTAGTTACAATTTGGTACGTTGTGCTGTATTGCGTGACTATGGTGCTTCGGCCTTTGTCTAGTTAAGCTAGTACTAGCTTTCTAGACGCCTGGTGCTAAAGAGCAGTTTGGTAACAGGGAGAGATATAGAGCAGCTAGGCTGCCTTCTAGCGAGCTCTCTTAGGGGATAGGAAATAGTGCTAGTAAAATCAAATTCGTTGTTCTTTGTTTTTCTTCTTTTCTTCTTATTTTTCTTATTTTTCTTCTTTCTAGCCTTCTTGGCCTACATGCCACTTTCTTGTTCCTATCTTCGTGCTAGTAATAAAAGCTAGAGTAGCTTCTATACCGCTCGTAGTGTGGAGTAAGAGTGGGAGTTTAAGTACTTTCTGGCCTAGAGTCTTTTTAAGTTGGTTTCTCTCTGCGCTATAGAAACCACAGTATAGAAGTAGGTGCTCTGCTGTTTGTGGTCTTCCGCATTTACAGAGTTCTGTTTCTCTTCTTTTTACTCTCTTTAGATAAGCATTGAAGTATCCGTGCCCTATCTTAAGAGAATAGAAAGAGCTTAAAATCTCTCTTTTAGTGCCTCTTAGGATTACTAGTTAGTTTTTCAGCTTAAGGTTAAAGATAGCTCCGTAGCTAGTCTTCTTTTCTCTTACTTTCTCCCTATACTTTCTCCACTCTTCTGCCTGGCTAGCTCTTTAGAGAAGCTTGATCTTAGTGCCTATAAAGGCTAGACTTGTTTTTAATTCTTTTGGTGTTTGTTTTGTAGCTTCCTTTGCTAAGGAATCTGCTTTTTCATTTCCTTCTATATCTGTGTGGCCTAGCGCCCATTTTAAGAAGATCTTTGCTTTTCTGTTTAGAATAGCTTTAGCTGCTTTTTAGCACCGAATTACCCACTGCTGACCAGGCTTATCTAATAGACTCTGAAGCCTATATATGGCAGCTTAGTTGTCAGCGTAAACGTGGATATTTTAGTCTTTTTGAGCTACTTTAGCCGCGTATTCGAAGGCTATTGTAATGCCTTCAAGTTCTCCGTTATAGATAAGTTAGTTCTCGCCTATATTCTTTGTCTCTAGATGGATTTCTTCTTAGTTTGGGTTGTAGACTGCTACGCCTACTCCTATCCCATCTCCGTCTTTAGTTTTAGAGGCGTCTGAGTAGATTACTATAGAGTTATCCTCTATTATTTAGATATAATCTTTATGCGCGGCTGCCTCTTCTACTTTAGATTTCTTTAATATATAGATATTATAGTTAAGAGAGTCCCATGGTCTAAACCAATATGGGACGATTTCTTCTATCTCTGTAGTAGATGGGATAGAGCTCGTGATAGCCTGTAGTTGTCTAGGTTTCTTTAGCTGTTTTAATTGCTAAAGGTTTGTTTTTTATAGTCTTATAATAGCTTTTGTAATTAGATAGGTTTAGGCTAGTTGTATAGCTTGTAGAGCGTATTTTCGGTTTATTTAGCTTAGCCGTATGGCTGGTGGCGGCAAGCTAGCTTCGATACTTATTAGGATAGCTAGAGCTGTTTTGAATACTCCTAGTACCTTTCTACAAGCTACGTTATATAGCGGCTGAAGCTAATCTTTAATAAAGCTCTAGTTGCGCCAATAGATTGGCAACCTATAGTCTACAATGCTTATAACGCATGCTAGATATAGTTGTCTAATAGCAAAGGGGGATAGACCGTGGTCTATATTCGCTAGTCTCCCTAGTCTATTAAAAGCTGTTTTTACTTAGCTAGCTCGAATAGCTACGTGTCCTCGAAAGGATAGCTTATTATCGAGGTGTACCCCTAGCCACTTAATCATATCTTTATAGTAGATTTTCTCCTTACTAGGGAGCTCTAGGGGGATTTCTTTTCTTTCTTTCTTCTTTATAAAGTAGATTAGCTCTGTTTTCGCTATATCAAACTTAATAGCTAGTTCTTTTCCTTTAGTAACTAGTTTCTTAACCTCCTGTTATAGTATCTTAACGTTTTTCTTAATGGACGTTAATGAGGTTGTAATGGAGATGTCGTCGATGTAGAAGAGCTAAAATCCATCTATTTGGTAGAATAGATCTCTAATGTAGATCAGAAAGAAGATTAGAGATACTGGGCTGCCTTGTGGAATACCCGCATTAATCTCGCTAAAGTCTTCTATTTGGCCGTCAAAGGCGAGCCTTAGGGATCTATTAGACAGAAAGGTTTTAGCCCAGGTAATTAGGCTAATAGGTAGGCCTAGCCTTTTTAGTGTATTTAGGAACTGGTTGTGGGAAACGTGGTCGAACGCTCCTTTAACATCTAGAAAGACTGTTGATGTAGTGTAGCCTTATTATTTTTAGTGCTAGATTTAATCTATAAGTAGGAGAGCTGCGTCAATAGCTGATTTCTTTAATCTGCCTCCTATCTATAAGTTGTGTAGAAGGCTTGTAGTCTCAGCTAGGTAGCTAAGTCTTTTAGCTATTATCCGTTCTATTACTTTACCTAGGCAGCTTAGAAGAGTAATTACTCTATAGGCCTTTGGGATAGAATAGTTAGGTTTGAACGGCTTCTTTAGAATAGCTCCTGTAGCTCTTCTCCAGCACGTTGGATAGTATCTATAGTTGAATAGCAGAGAGTAAGCTTTAAAGAACGTGTTTGGTTGAGCTTGGTAGGCAGCTGTGATAATCTTATATGATAAAGCGTCTTGGCCTGGTGTGCTACTTTTTACTTTATTAGAACACGCATATTCTAGTTCGGTTATTAATAGCGCTGGCCACTCCCACTCTTTCTCTTGGTAGTTATTGAAGCTTGGTGGTACTGTACTTGGAGGCGGAGGAAATAGTGCTTTTTAAAAGGCTTTGCACTTTCCTTTAAATAAGGTTTCTAGCGTCTCTTCTTGGATAGGAGGGATTCTTTCTACTCTCTTTTCCTTTGTATAGTCCATAGCTTTGAAGATAGATTATGGGTTTTCTTTTTCTAGAAAGTTATTCTAGTGCTCTCTTTTAGCTTTCTTAATTGCTGTTTGGTAGGTGTTTCGTGCTAGAAGGAAGTCTCTTTTAAAGAGATAGGCTTCCTCTATAGAGGTAGCTTGAAGTTGTTGCGCGAATATCCTTTGGCAGTGAGATACGTTTCTTCGTAGCTTAGTTAACTCCTGGCTCTACTAGGGCTTTGCTTTTAGCCCTAGCTTTAGTTGTGGAATAGCTTTATCTGTAGCTTATTAGATTACTAGAGTAATAGCTTCTCTAATTGCGTCTAGCTGCAGCTTAAGCTCGTTGTCTTGGCTTAGGAGTAAGTTTCTTAAATCTGCTTTTCTTGGTTGGTTAATCTGATCTAGGCCTTGGAGAGCTTGGTTGCTCTAGATAGCTCTGTCTAGCTCTTCTCTAAATAGGTTCTAGTCTGCCCTTTTCGTATTATATCTTTTTTGGCTAGTAGAGTTACTAACTAGGTTCTTTATTGTCTGGATTGAGAAGAGTATCCCGTAGTGATCAGATCCAGTTTCTGTCGTAGTTTACCAGTCTTTAACTTTGTCTTCTAGATCTAGTGTGGCGATAGATAGATCTAGCGTTGTTTCTCTAGATAGATAGGGTCTAAAGAAAGTAGCTGTGCCTGGCGTGTTTAGAAGGCTAAAGTGTTGGTCTTCTATCCAATCTGCTAGTTATTAGCCGCCTTAGCTAGTATTACTACTGCCTGGGTCCCACCAAGAGTGGTGCTCGTTAGCGTCCATTAGTAGAAGAGTAGATATTGGTAGCCGGGTGTTTACAAGTATTCTTTAAAAGGTTTTTATATTTTTATGGTTTTTTTAGTTGTATACGTTGTAGATATTAAACCTTAAGCGTCCTTCTTATATCGTGACAGCAATAGCGTCGGGATCAGCTATCTCTTTTAGCTAGCTAACCTCTGCTGTTAGAGATCTAGATATATAAAATAGAGCTCTTGGGCGGAGGTTTGGACCTGCTTTTGGAAAGATTTGGTAGAAGCTTTAGTGGGCTATTGACCTTAGAGCTTCGTAGCTATTACTGCTAGAGAGTGCAATCCACGGTTCTTAGATTGCAATAATATTAACTTTTAGCTCAGTTACTAGTTGTAGCGTTGACTCTGTAGCCTGTATACTTTTATTTAAGTTTACTTATAGTACTTTAAGGTTTTCTATTATTATTTAATAGCTAGAAGGACCTCGCAGTCTTTGCTATTCGCAAAGTGGGTTTATTTACAGTTTTTGTATTTTAGGAGCGTGTAGTTATAAGCTTTTCCTTTTACTTTGCAAATGCTACAGAAGTGCTGAGTAGTTAGGTGGTTTTCAGTACAGAACTGGCAGCTAGCTAGGTTTCTACACCTGCTAAAGTTGTGTCCGAACCCTTGGCACTTACTGCACTAAGCAGTTAGTGGGATTTGGCGGTATTTCTCAACCCAGAGCGATTGGCCAAATATTGTTATTCTATTACCAATCTTCTTCGCTTCTGCTTCGGATTTAAAAGCTATAACAATAGAGCTTATTTACTTGCTTTTCCAGCTTCTAGATAGCCAGTAGAGGTTCCCAACAATAGTTTGGTTCTTATTATACATTAGAATTTCTGTGTGGAGAAGCTAGAGGTTTTCAGCTCCATTAAAGGTTGTTGGTACTCCGTGTACCACGAGTTTAGTCCAGGACTCTAGAGGCTAGGCTTTCTTAATTAGCAGCTAGTTTTACCAAGTATTAATTTGCTTTAGAAGAAATTCTCCTAAGTATCCTTCGGTGGTCGTAAGGATAAGGTTGTTTCTTTTACTCGTTGCTACCTGTTAGATAACTAGGCCAGCGATGCCAACCTTCTAGAAGGCTTAGTTAATCTTATTTCTTACTAGTAGAGGGCTGGTTATTTAGCCCTCTTCTAGTGTTACTAGCGTCTGGTAGTAAGATACTGGTTTTTTAGCTAGTTGCGCTAGCTTCTTCTTTAGTTAGACTATTGTCCAGGCCTAGTTTGAGTTGTTTGCTGCAATTGTAGCGTAGGAGGTTTGGGCTGGTTTTTAAGCTACTTATATAGCTATTGGTTGTGCCTTATTAGAAGCTATAGTAGTAGCTTGTTTGAGCGTCTTTGTTGCCTGCTAGGAGGCATTTGCCAGCGTAGCTGAGTGGTAAGCTAGTTTAGCAGATAGCTTTTCCGTAATTTGGTTAGCTACTCTGCCAGTTTCAGTATAGTCTCTGAAGACGTCTAGTAGCTCTAGTAGCTTATTTTGAGCTACGTGGGATTCTTCCATTATAGAGGCTTGAAGGATTAGATCTCTAGCCCAATAGATTGCCTGTTCAGAGTTCTTGGCGATTGGTTTTAGGCTAGAGGTATTCTGGTATGGATTTCTACCTCTATAGGTATTCTCTGGTGAGAAGTTGGCGTATCGTTTGTTTGGTGGTAGTATTGGTATTTCAAACACGCTAGGTGTTTATTGGTTTTGAGTAGGTGTAGCTGGAGTAGACTCTATCTCCATTTCTCTATCAGTTTAGGCCTCTGGCCCTAGGCTCTCCTGTCTGTTTTCTTAAGTATTTACTACGATAGTATCACTATCTAGCAGCATTTTATTACTAAGCTCTTTTCTTAGTAAGCAACTAGATGGTCTGTGTGTTTTTGTTTTCGTGAGTGAGACGTGTTCAGATTAGCTACTTTACCAGCTTCTAGCTCTATAGCGCGTGGGCTGCACGAGTTGGCACTAGTTGTAATAGATTTCTTGGGATGAATTTGTATATATTTCGCTAAAATTACACCTATTCTGAAAAACTCGAAGTTGGTGTGTGCATAGAAAGAACAGTAACTGCGATAGCATCAGTATATATACGAGCTCATCAGCCGATCTAGAATAATAGATCAAAATGGCTGATAGTATCTTCAAAGTACCAAAGCTCAAAGGGAGCTCAAATTTTGACATATGGGCACTGCGGATTCGATCTATTCTTATTCAGCAAGATTGTGCTGATGTGATGGATATAGATCCATCTAATCTCACATTAGATCAATATCCAGATACGTTCGACAAATTAAAAGAAAAGGAATCGAAGGCGCTAGCTACGATCAGACTAAGTCTCGAAGACGGACCACTACTTCAGACGAAGGAGTATACTAGTCCAGTAGAGCTATGGAATAATCTTAAAATTCTATACTCTCAGAAAGGGTTTAGCTCTAATTTTTTAATCTACAAAGATCTAATCAACACCACACTCGCAAGCTGCCAAAATAACGTCAAAACCTATCTTTAAAAGCTATCAAGGCTTACTCTAAGCTTAAAAGCTCGCAAAATCGAACTGCCCGATCGATTCATTGCTGCGCTAATACTTAACAATTTAAGTTCAGAATTTAATTATCTCACTACCGCGATCACGCAAGACTTTAGATCAAACAAAGAAATTAATCTTGAAATAATATGCAGCCAGATTATTGACGAATCCAGACGTCTTAGATCTATTAAGAATAGCTCTAGCAGCTCAAACAGCTCGATCCAAAGAAGCTATATTAAATCTTATCGATCCAATCCATCCCATCGATCCGATCCATCCCATCGATCCGATCTATCCCATCGATCCGATCTATACCATCGATCTGATCATAGATACGATCAATCTCATCGATCCCATCAATCCAAGGATATAGAAATGTCCTTATCAACTCAGAAATCCAACAGCAGCTCGAAGCACTACAGCTACTGCAGAAGAAATGGGCATCTAGTTGATCAATGTTAGCAAAAAGATCCATCTAAGCGCACCAACCAGAGCTTATTCAAAACGGAAGAAGCTCTATCTACGATTATATCAGTAGACCAAAATATCGCTGATATCAATACCACCAGATCCATCCAATCTACCAAATCCATCAAGTGGATACTGGATAGTGGAGCTAGTGCGCATATCTGCTGCGATCGAACTCTATTCCGGAATCTTACTAGTGTATCCAACACCTATATCAAATGGGGCAATACAGGAACACTACTACCAGCAATAGCCAAAGAAGAAGTACCAATCACATTCACCAGCACCAGCAGATCAGTAGTGCTAAAAGAAGTACTCCTTGTACCAGACTTTCGTGTCAATCTATTAAGTCTCTATCAAGCAGTCCAAAAAGAAGCAGAATTCCAATTTGCCAAGAACTATAGTCTAATTACTCATTCTAGCACCAGCACACCCATACACAACTGCAGACAACTTCGAGTTTTCTAGAATAGGTGTAATTTTAGTCAAATATATATAAACCCCTCGCGAGAAATCGATTACAATCACCTTTAAAGCGTGCACGCCACGCGCTGTGGAGCTATAGGCTGTTAAAGTGATCACTTTAGACACGTCTTATTTTTCACCGAAAAACACACAGACCAGGTGGATTAGTAATCAAAATGCCACCCGATAGTGATACTATCGACGTACACGTGCCAGGCACCCAGGCGAGAGCAGAAATCGAAGCTCAGATCCAGAATGAGATAGATATGGAAACCACGGAACCAGCGACGCCTACGCAGACTACTATACCTAGCGTAGTTGAAATACCAATCCTCCCACCAAATAAACGGCAGGCAAACTTCTCGCCAGAAATACGCACTAGGAGCAACTTCTCACCATTTAGAGGAGCTACGCTTAGATTCAGTACTCAAAGCAGAACTCCGAAGGCAATATCAGTACAAGAGGCGCTAGAAATAGCGAGAAACCTAGTAGTCCAAGCAGCTAATCTAGCTGAAAATAACCCCTCGCAGCAGACTAGCCTACTCGACCTAGT